AGATTCTTTTACCAACGTCTTACAGATTGGGAAACTGAGGCATAGACAGTTTAAATAACTTGTCCAGGGTCACAGCTACCAGGTAGTGGGGCTGGGGCTTGAACTCAGCAAATCTGTCTTCAGAGCCCTTGTGCTGAATCACTGTATAGATACCGCTTCATAACTGCCTATAATCCCCTATTTGAGCCGTTATGTTATTTCTGACTGTATTACTGCAAACACTGTTAGACTTTCTTTTAGCTAAACCTTTGTATGTCTCCTTTATTATATCCTTGGGAAGGATACACTCCTAGAGAACCAGCTTTCTTGATTTTCAATTCAGCCCTCTTTCAAAATGCCATGCTGTCCACCTCTTGAGGATGGGTGCTGACTAACAAGTCCTATGATTAGGAAAACACAGACAACAAGAAAGCAGCTTGGGAGAGCCAACACTCGGAAAAGAGCTGTGTGTCTGTGACTCTGAAGTAAATGAAAAGTTAGGGGATGTTGGAGTTAATTCTGATCCTTTAAAACTCATGTTGCTCTTCTCTTCATGGCTGACATCCAGTTTCACAGTCCTTACCTTGGAATTTGTAGCCTCCTTGACACCAACCTTCCCTCCCCCCGCCATCTACTTACAATGGCTGTCCACAGGAACTTGAATATTCCTTAAGACATTGTTTCTAAGACAGATCTATAAATTGTCCAATAAGTGGCAAATATCAAGGGCCCTGGTTGACAGACAACTTTGTCATGACATTAGGTTAGAAGCATGTCAGTAGCTCCTTTCTTGAATGATGTTTGCCTGTAAGTAATTCTGTTGATTTCATCATCTCAGCAAGTCTCTCATTTGTATGGATAAAAAATTCACCCGAGTAGGCAGCCAGAGATTTTCCTAAAATGTTCCTTCTAAACTCAGCTTAAATTTCATCTCTCTCAGGAAGTGCTCATTTCTTGAACTCCTCCAGCTTCTCTGACCTGAACTCTACCAATTTGTGCCATTATGAGTACAAGAAGAAGTGGGATTTGTCTTTTATACCTGATTCAGCAAATATGTATCAAGTGCCCATGTATGCCAAGCACTGTGTTAAATGTGTGGAAGCAAAAAAGAAAACAAGATACCTCCATGCCCCACAATCTTCAGTAAAGCCGTGTAGCTTCTCAGAATTCACTTGCTTAAAACAAAAATCCCTGCCAATTCACTGTTTGCAGTACATTCTCTTATGACCTCTTTTAATTTGACTGTAAACTGTTCCTCCCTTTCCTATCTCTGCTTTTTATTCTTCTTGTTGAAATTAGAAATACTGTATGTTTGTTTTGGAAAACATCCAATTGCAAACAGGAGAAACCGTATGAAAATGAGTTAGTCATTGGATCACATACCTAGAAAAGCTTATTTAAAACAAGAGAATGTTTCCTTTAATTCAGAAGGAAAAAAGAAAAGGGTTAACCCACACCCAGTTACCGCAATCATTCTCCATCCATGCCTATTGTATTGAAATCTTCTGTTTACATCTCTCTCCTGAGAGTCTGTGAGCTGCTTGAGAGTAAGGCCCCTGCTTAGTAATTTTTAAGTTCTAGCATCTGGCACAGGGCAGGTCTTCATTTCATGTTTGTTGAAGTATATCTTTATTGGTTTTAAGATGCAATAAATTGTACAACACACCATTGATTTAATATCAGCTTTTCATGGGAGGGAAAAAAGACAGCACATTTGTAGACTACATTTGTAAACAACTATTATAAAACACATCCTGATTTCGAGAAAGTCAAAATTTAAAAAGTATGCCTCAGAATGGAGGAAATCCTGTAATTGTCCTCTACTGGACTTCCGGTCTCAAAAACAGGGTAGACTCCTGCCTCCACTGTGTCAGCAGACAAAAATTCTTGAGCACTGGTTGTATTGATTCAAATCATTCTACTCTTCCTACAGTGCTTTTTCTGAGACCACAGGCAGTTTACAAATATTTGTCTGTTATTGTTTTCTTTAATTTCCATTTCCTTATATTAAACCCTCCTCTTCAAAATTCTTCCCTGCCTTTTATAGCGGTCTGTTGTCTTAAAGGCTCTACCTCTAAGACTCCTTTGCTCCTTCAGTGGCTCTCATTCATCCTGTCCTCAGTGTGGGCATCCCCCCCAAGGCTCAGTCCCCTTCTTTTCCCAGTCTTTGTTAGTGCTTCTCCACCCTGGCTGCATGTCGGAATCACTTGGAGAGCCTTTAAAAATGTCCAAGCCCAGATCCCAACCCAGATCAATGGAATCAGTCAACTTGGACTGAAATGTTAGCTCTGTGACCCTTGGTCATGTAATTTAGCCTCTGAAATAAAATTTCTTCACCTGTAAAATTAAGATAATGTTAAAATCTCCTCCATAGATTGTTGAATACATTCGTACTCCCCATCATTACAGCAAATCTCATCTTCTCTTCTCCCCATTTATTTAATGCCTATGTTTCTTTGAAAGCTCAACTCAAATCCTCCCTCCTTCTCACAGCCCTTTACAATCAAAATTTATTTTAGATTGTTTGCAAAGCACACTGAAAACTCAAGATAGACCTGCTGAAAGTGAAAGTCTCCTACCCAGCTTCCTCCAGCTGTTCTCGTCACCTTTCAATTCTTTCTCCACACAACACTGCAACATTCCAGAGTGATCATTAAAAAAAATATTCTAATCTTGTTGCTTCCTATTTTAAACCTTCCAATCAATTCTCCCTGTTCTTAAGTTAAAGTCCAAATTCTTTAACCCGGCCACAAGGTTCTACAAAATCTGACCCTCATCTTGCTTCCCTCTCATTGCTTTCTAGAGTGCAGCTGGCCTGGTCCTTACTGGATATGCTCTTCCCCTCCTCTGGGCCTTGCTCATGCCATTCCCTCTGCCAGAAATGGTCTTATACTTGCCTTTTCAAAGTCAGCTTAATAATTACTTCTTTGGTGAACACTTCTCTGACCCTCACTCCAAGTTAGATGCCCCTAGTAAAACCTTCTCTTTACATCCCATAAACACCCTTTGTAATGAAATGTTTTATCATGAACTGGATGGATTAGGGCAGGATATTAACTTTTTAATATACCTCTATGTTGTTTGATTTGTTGCTACAAGTATGAACTATATTTGTCATTTAAAAAGATTATTAACAAGGCTGAAAAACAGTATACTGTTTTTTAAAAGTTGTACAGTTGCCTAACGTCTCTCTCCTCTCCTAAAATACAAATTTCAGGAAGGGCATGTGCTTGGCCTGTCTTGTTCACCACTGTGACCCCAGAATCAACACTGCTTCGAACACAGGAGGGACTAGATTTATTGAGCCAATGCTGTTGACGGAGGAGGTCAGAACTTGAAAACAGATTGGGAGGCGAAGCACTAACCTTGCCCAAGAAGGACACGAGGCTCAGTACCACCTAGAAAAGGCAAGGGAGTGGAGAACACCTGGGCCTGTCTGAGTCAGCATCCTATTTAAGAACATCCTCTCAGCCCAAGAGTGGGGCAGGAAGGTTTTTAAGCAGTAGACGTGCTTAGAGTCTCAAGACTGAGGTAGCATTCAGGTTATTGGCATCAGATTAGTTAAAAATAGGACCTGGGCCAGAGGCTACAGGCAAATTTAGGGGGGCATCATTATACTGTAAAAAATTTTTAAACTTTTCTAGTTAAAATTTTCTAATTATAATTGTGTTCTTTATGAATTTGGCACTCAACACATGCAGATTGTTTTTGTAATTTATGTACATATATCTCTCCAACTGAATCCATAATTCCCTAAATACAAGGTGTTTTTCATAAATGTTTGACCTCATGGCCTGGTATAATCCACATCATATTTCCTAGAAATGAATACAGCCAACATTCTTTCACCCAAGGAAAATGTTCAAAGCTTCAATATTTCTCAGATACTTTCTAACAAGTTTTTAATATTTAAATAAATGCAGCAAATTTTCACACATATCGCCAATGCTTGTTGAAGTTTCTTTGATTTTCAATGGCCTTTAATGGGGTTTTTTTTTTTGCTTGGAAATATTTGATAGGGCATTTGTAAATAGATGCCTGCAATGTATCTGAACAAAGTAGAATATTTTAATGAGAACATGTGCTTTGCATGCAATATATTCTAACCATTTCTCCATGTTTTTAAACATAGGATATGCTTTATAAGTTAAAAGAACTGCCCAGTGAGAACTTTTGTTGTCCTGGCATTGTTGTAGTAACTAATAAGCTTTTAATATCGGATCTGAGGGCTTGTCTCTTTTTGGCGCAGCTTATGTTGTGGTGGTATATCAGAGAGAGACTAAAATTCGTTAATTTTGCACATGGTAATAGCTGTGTCCTTCAACAATTAAAAATGAGATGAAATAGGCTCCAGAAATCCTCACTTCCAAAAATTGAAGGATAACAAAGTCATTATTGAATCTGCAGTCTTGTAAGAGCAATGCTGATCAATCCCTTCCCTCTTAGGCATCTGAATTATGTGTTATATCTAGACGACAAGCCTAGGTTTTGCTCTTTTCCTATACTTTAACATACTTTGAGCTAGACGTGTTTAATTTAGGTTAGAGGCTGCCTCATGATAGCGTGAATTCAGGTCATTGTGTGACTTCGGTAGGATTACGTTTATTAACCAAGATTGCCCATTATGATGGTTTCTAGGCCAACGGCATGAAATGAGTTTTTTTTGGACAAAAAAATTATATTGTTGTTTTTCCACAGAGAGAATTATTTACGTAGTTAAAGCTACTCTACACATCCAGTTGCTATTCTTAGTAGCTACAGGCGGTTTCTCTTTTTCTCCACTATATTCTGACAGTTGTTTACTCTATCTTTGCTTTGTCTCTTTCCTCCCTTTAATTAACACCTAAAACATAGTGAAAACTTTATGTTTTTATTAAGAATAAAAATTCACAATTTTACAAAGAAATCTACATGAAATAAAAAGAAGTGGTAATATACTTAAAAGTTACAAAAATTAACCGATATTAATTTAGGAAGGAAACACTAATTAATTAATTAAAAATGTATTAGCAGGTGCTTACCATGGGTTTTGGTGTCTGTGGCTTATTTCATCAATAGCAGCTTCACTTACTTCTCCATACTGTAAAAGGAAGAAAATTAATGTACTCTAATTCCAGGGTAAATTGGCATCAAGATGTCTAACAGTCCACATTCGTAATCAAAAAGGAAGTCAGATTGGGAAATGAAACAGGAAATGCTAAATTCAGTTAAAAGAAGATAGTCTTCTGATTCTTGAACTGAGAGGAAAAAGTACAAGACTAAGATAAATGTGATCCTATGGGCTTTACTTTCCCTTTCTGTGGAAGGACGGGGATTAGGTAGCAAGAAAAGTATAGTCCGCGACCTCAGAACTCTTTTCTATCTTTATGATTCTGTGTCTAAATAAGAAGGCATTCTAAACTACCACTTATCATTTAGACTCAAACATTTTAGTTCTTCCCACTTCACCTAATCCCCACAGAATTAGAAATGTGGTGGTAATGACGTAGGAAAGAGCTGGATTGTAGACAGCCTGTGGTAAAGTGTAGCTCTGAATACTCCTTTCAGGAAGCATAATTTAGAATATTCATAAATATTTGGTAGCTTAGAACCAGTTCCCACATAAAAAAAGTAATCCCCACACCTTCTCATGTACACTGACATAGTCTGTTATCACTGAATAAATGACCTCCATATACTGGCTCCTTTTCCCCAAGAAGTAGCCAATGGATGGTACATCTTATACATAAGCGTGGAAATAGAGGTGTCAAATTTATGTTGAATTTTTCCATACTAGGATTGGGAAACAATGATATGGACTATCAAAAGTATTTCACTTCAGTTTTGAATGCATTTTTTACTTACATTGATGTGGGATGCTCTATATTCATAACATCTCAAAAGGTAGCGGTCATACTACAATTTCAACATCACAGGAATTACCCACTATTTTTTTTTTCTCTTCCCTTTTTTCTTCCTTTTCCCTCAGGCTTTCGTTTAGCATGACTTTCCTGATCACGTGCGTCAGTTATTTGTGTTGGGAAAGCAGCTCTATTTACTTAAGTCATCGTCTCAGTGATGAAGACCTGAAACCTTGATCACTTCCAGCTTTTTAATGTCCATTTGTAAAATAAATAAAGGAAGGGACAGTATAAACAAGATTTAAATGCACGTATGACCCACTATTCCATAGAAAATTTGAAAAGTGAGCATCTGTATGCAGTCATGCATTGCAAACATTTCAGGCAACAATGGACTTATACCAGCATATAACATGGTGGCCCCATAGATTAGGACCATACAGCCTAGGTGTGTAGTACGCTATACATCTAGGTTTGTGTCAGTACACTTTATGATGTTTGCACAAGGATGAAATTGCCTAACGATGCATTTCTCACAATGCATCCCCATTGTTAAGCGACTCATGACTGTGTAATGGTAAGATCATGGTATAACTTTATTTCTCAGTTGATTTCTGACATGTGATTCCCTGAAAATTGACCTTATCAATTGACTTATAAATTATTTTGTTATCAGCTTTTGTACAAATTTTCTAGGACTTGGACAATCTTCTTTGATTTTCATTCCCATTTTTAATAATCAAAAATTGCATCATCCTAACTGGAAAGATGTTTCTTTTTCTTTTCTTTTCTTTTCTTTTTTTTGTGAGGAAGATTGGCCCTGAGCTAACATCTGTTGCCAATCTTCCTCTATTTTATGTGGGATGCAGCCACAGTGTGGCTTGATGAGTGGTGACAGATCCATGCTTGGGATCCAAAGCCATGAACACTGGGCTGCCAAAGCAGAGCACATGAACTTAATCACTACTCCACTGGGCTGGCCCCTGAAAAGACTTTTCTTCGAAACAAACAACAGATTCTTTTGTGCTCCTCATTTCCCCTATAGCTATCAGTGTATAATGCTATAAAAAATTTATCTAAAATAAGCTGGCCTTTCTCCATCTTAATTTGTTAATGAAATCCATCATGATTTATTTGGACAGATATGTTCACTGTGGTGTTAAATCTAATGAAATTCAGAATCAAAAAGATCATTTTTTTTTACTGATCAGTTGGTCAGTTTTGAATCAGATGAAAGACTGATTCAAAAACTAATTGAAGGGGCTAGCCCCATGGCCTAGTGGTTAAGTTCAGCATGCTCTGCTTTGGCTGCCTGGGTTCGGTTCTCTGATGCAGACCTACATCACTCGTTGGTGGCCATGCTGTGGTGGCGACTCGTGTGCAAAATAAAGGAAGATTGGCCCAGACGTTAGCTCAGGGCAAATCTTCCTCAGCAAAAAAACCCCAAAAAACAAAAACAAATAATTCAACATCATCATGGAAACAGGTAACAACTGATTAGTATATTCTCTATTTTAAGGAAGTCAGTGAGACTCTTTTACAGTTAATTTGAATGTTTTAAACTAGCAAAAATAATCATAACTCAAAATTAGATATTTCCTGGGGCCGGCCCCGTGGCCGAGTGCTTAAGTTCGCACACTTCGCTGCAGGCAGCCCAGTGTTTTGTTGGTTTGAATCCTGGGCGCGGACATGGCACTGCTCATCAAACCACACTGAGGCAGCATCCCACATGCCACAACTAGAAGGACCCACAACGAAGAATACACAACTATGTACCGGGGGGCTTTGGGGAGAAAAAGGAAAAAAATAAAATCTTTAAAAAAAAATTAGATATTTCCTATTAAGCAATCTTTAAATAAGTCTAGACATTAACAAAATGGAAGTACCTGCCAACCACATTCAGATACTGTGAATTAGATACAATTTCTGAAATGAGTTAAAAACTGATGAATTTGAGTTAAATTAATCACAGATATTTGGGGTTCATTCTAGTAAACAATTAAAATGGTTGCTTAGGGGCTGACCCAGTGGCGTAGCGGTTAAGTGTGCACATTCCCCTTTAGCAGCCCGGGGTTCGCTGGTTTGGATCCTGGGTGCAGACATGGCACCACTTGGCAGGCCATGTTGTGGTAGGTGTCCTACATAGAAAGTAGAGGAAGACGGGCATGGATGTTAGCTCAGGGCCAGCCTTCCTCAGCAATAAAAAAGAGGAGGATTGGCAGCAGTTAGCTCAGGGCTAACCTTCCTCAAAAAAATAAAATAAAATAAAATCGTTGCTTAATATTTTTGCTTTTAATATGAAATCACTTCTGGTCTAGTCCTGACACACTTAGGAAATCTTCTTTTTGGGATTGATCACAGGAATCCTCTTTCTTTGTTGCTATACTTGACTCAAGATGCTTCTCTTAAGATATCTATCCTTGAGTTTCCTTACTAGAAAGAAGCATTTTCCATCTCTATAGCTATGAGGTCTTTCTCACCAGGAGAATGCATACAATGGCAATGCATTTCAAGAATGCATGGACACCCGGGTTTCCCTTCTCTACCCTCCTCCTTGGTAATGGAGAGCTCTTAGTACCAAACATTTGAGTGGAAAATCCCCTAAGGCTACCTTTTCTTATGCTAATGAACTTTTCTTTCCATGCCTCAATTTGCAAAATATTACTGTTAACCCCTTAGGTGTCTTTCTTCCCACAGCCAGTGAGAAGCATTCCCACTGTTGTAGCTGGATCACTAAATTGCATAATGTTGCCTATTCTAGACTGGAACTATTGAAGGGAGAAAGGGGGCATAAAGGCCTTTGTGTGAATGCAGCATTTGAAGTATTCATTTTATATTCAGAGCATGAGTGGAAACAAAACAATTCTTTCTGAAAGATGTCAGTGTTTAAGGCGTGGATTCTGTGATGAATTTTTCTTGTTAAAAAGCAAAAAACGAACAATGCAGAGGCACATACTTCATTTTATGCTACATTATATATGGGCTTGAATACCAACATAAATTGTATCCTGTCGTCTTTTTTTTTTAATTGCAGTGTTTTTAGATAATTTGAATTAGTACACCAACTTTCAGCAAATAGACTAAACATCGGGTTTTGGGAGTTTGTTGACTATGACCCCAGTACTTTTGTTTTCCGTGGAGTGTCCAAATAATGAGCAACGTATTCCATTATGTTTCTAATGTGCTTATAGTAATATAATTAAAAAATCCAGATAGGCAAGAAAATCTAGTATATATAGACATTAGTAATAATAGATCCCATTTATTGGGACTTAAACTAGATACTATACTAAGTTCTTTACATGCATATCTCACTTAATCCATTTAATAACCCTCTAAGGTATTATCGTTATCTCTGTGGTAGCAGAATTCTAAGATGACCCCCAAGATTCTCACTGCTTGGTGTGCATACCTTCTCCCAGATATTTGCCCAAATACTAATCTAGGTACTGCTGTGAAGGGATTTTGCAGTTCTAATTAAGATCCCAAACCAACTGACTTTAATAAAGGGAGATTATCCTCAGTGGACCTAACTTAACCAGGTGAGCTCTTAAAAAGATCTGGGCTCTTCCTGGCAAAGGGGATTTGAAGCATGAGAGGGATTTGACGTGAAGGAGATTCTCTGTTGCTGGCTTTAAACATGGAGAGGACCATGTGGTGAGGAATGTGGGCACCTTCTAGATGCTGAGAATGGCCCCTGGCTAACAGCCAGCAAAGAAATGGGACCTCAATCTTACAACCACAAGGAACTGAAATCTGTCACAACCACATGAACTTGGAAGAGACCCTAAGCCTGAGATGAGATCACAGCCACAGCTGACACTTTGTTTTAAGCCTTGTGAGACCTGAACAGAGAACCCAGCCATGCCTTCCCAGGACTTCGGACCTACAGAATTGTGAGCAAATAAACGAGTGTTGCTTTAAGCTGCTAAATTTGTGGTAATTTGCTATGACCAACAGAACGCTAATAGAGTCTCTTTTTATAGATGGGAAAACTGAGATGTTACAAAAAATAGTAGGCAGCCTAGCATACAAAGAGAGAAAAGGAGGAAAATGAAAATTCTTCAACTGGCTACTTTTGCTTGTAAGTCACTTTCAATTTTTCATTAAGGCCGCAAGCATAGATTTGCCCTGAAAAGCATCATGAGTACCAGTTGCCTCATTTATTCTCAGTGAGAAGGCAAATATCTGTTATTTTCTCCCTGTACTTCTCCAGGGAAATAAATGTTTTCCTTAGTCA